TATATATTGAACGATTTCTTAAAATAAGGTAAAATATCTGAAAAAATAGAAAATTCTACTATAAATGATAGCTAACTTAAAAAAGGTAAATAAGAGTTTGCCGATCACTAACAGAGATTTAATTAAACTCTAAGAAGTATATGAAATATAATAACCTAAAAAAAATTTTAAAAACTCTAACATAGCCAAAAATTATATATATATATGTGTTTGTGCGTGTCTTGCCGCAAGCCGTGGCTTGTTCGTTGGTTAAGTTCACTATAAGTCCCCTTAGGTTACTGGTTCGATCCCCAATGACGTTGGGTTCTCAAATCTTTAGGCACATGGAGCGGGCTCTCAGCATGGGGCCTAGTGCATGGGAAATTGGCCAAATACTGTGTGTGTGTGTGTGTGTGTGTGTGTGTGTGTGTGTGTGTGTGTGTGTGTGTGTGTGTGTGTGTGTGTGTGTAAGTATTTATGTATGTATGTATGTGAGTGTGTGTGTGTGTTTAAATAAAATATATCAATAAACAGTAATAGTTCTACATACTCACCAGATAATTCTTACCTATTTACATATTTAACTTCTGAACTTTCATATTTACACTCATAATATTTTAGTATTATAAAATCATGTAAGAAAAAGTATGTTAAAAAAATCATAATAATGATATTTTTGATCTGCTATTAGATACGTAAATTACTAAAAATTGTGTTGCATGTACATAAATGATAAAGAATATTTTCCAAAATAAAAAGAAAAATTTTGCAACAAATTACCATATTTTGCAGGGCTGGTGATTGCATCATAGAGGATTTTATACGAAGCACTGATACTTATATTTATACCCAATTTTAGCTTCAATTCGGAGACAGCTATCACGAGCTTGGAATTAAAATAGAGAGCTGCATCATTAATGGGGGCGTAGCAAGAACCTCCACCAATCAACTTTCTAATAATGGGCAAACAACCAATAGGCCCAAGTTCGCTTACAGAAAATGCCCTCGGCCCATTCTTATGTATTTCTTCCACATGATTCGATATCCGAGCTATCAGGAAATCAACATACTGCTCTACCGTGTACTGCTTCGATCGAGTCGTGGTGGTGAAGTAATTTTGAATGAAGTCATTTGTACCGGTGCTAATTATTACAAGAGAATGCGCTATGGTTCTCTCAGTTTTATGCTGGCCTATACTGCTTTGTAGCCTCAACTTGTACTCTTTAAAAAGTTCAATCTGCTTAGGGAATGTAAGCACATTCTGCATTTAAATTGAAGAAGAAAACATTAAAAATGCTATACTTCTACTGATGTGATAGTTTTTTATCAACATTTTATTCTTATTGTTGTCTTGTATGATTGATATATATATATGTAAAGTTTATTAACATGCTAATGTTAACAAGAAAGTAAAAGGAAATTTTACAAGTGCTGCATCGGTAAGTATGTCGAGACCAGCACCAGCCGAAGCAAAGCTGACTCCACGTCTTAGTTGTTTGACGGTGAGATCAGGGTCCAAGTAAGCTGGGATGAACTTTGCAATCCCAAGGAAATCAGCTGCAGCGATTTGAACATGAGAAAGTAGAAGGAAAGTTAATTAGTTCTTACAATTCTGTCCAACTGCATTACTAAATTATGTTCTTCAGCATATTTATTTCTTAAACAAGCGTGTTGTGGACTGTTTTTCTTTCTTTCATAAATTTAGAACGCAGCTTCATAAATTTTTTCTTATATTTAGCTTTATTAGTATTAATAGAACAATAAAATTAGTATCTTGGAAAGGTAAAAGTATTGATTCCAATAATTTATCTTTATTGAATGAGTGCAAGCTGACAGCTCATTGAATAGCCAATTCCTTTTGTTTTATCAGCAGAGTGTAGCCTTTGAAAATGATTGTCTTTCTAGTTTGATAACAAGAGAGATAATAATTATTTGTCTGTAATCCAGAATGACGCATGATCTTTTCACTCTAACGAGACAATTTGGTTTAATAATCGAATCGGTAAATAACATTTATTGTGGCTTTTATCTTACATAATTAAAAGCACGTGTTCTGCACCAGAAACATATAACGAGACAATTGATGGTTCTGTTTCTGTTCTCTGTTGTTCTAAAAAATGAGTTTTTCAAGTTAAGATTGGCCTTTGAATGATATTAACCATATTGTATGTGTTTTATCTTGTATATTTGATCGGCATGTAGACATATATAATAATATAGCTTATATATATATATATGTAATATAAAGAAACAATTTGATGAAAATGATTTCGAGCAAAAGAACAATGCAACCTGTTCGTACATAACTGGAGGCTAGAGAAACAGTTATTTTAAACAAGTAGTTAATCAGAAATGTAAAACACTAAAATTTAAATTTTTTTTAATTGAAGAAATAATGACTAATTTCAGGATCATTTTTATAGTAGAAAATAATTATACAAATCTATTGCATGTTTTATAAATCAATTTCTTAAAAACTATCATCCTTTTATCTTGTGCTCAATCGTGAAGACAAATGAATCAGGAGCTTGCTCCCATTCTTAAGTGGTGTTTGGCAACAACTTAGATTTATGTTAAATAGAATTTATCAAAGTAGATAAATCTGTATTTATTAAATGAGCAGCTCGTTTAGATCTCAATCGAAGTTATTAAATCCAGATTTACTATAAAAATGACATAACACAGGGAAAGGAAAACAAAACCCAAGAAAAAAGATTTTATTTTTATTTTATTGATGCTTTGCAGATTTTAAGTTAAATTCATGATTAAATCCTATTAATAGTATCCTACCAAACACTACCTTAATTTTTCCAAGAGAAAGAAATTACATAGTTAATTACCAATAATGTCAGGAGAAAGCAGGCCATCAGAGTGCCTCCCAGTTGGGCGGCTTCTAAGGAAATGAATCCCATAAGGCTTAAAATTGGCCTTCAAAGTAGTATTAAGTTTGTTGTTGTTGCCGGGATCTACAGTAGAGTCCCCAAACACCAGTAGGCATTTGATTTGTGTTGCAGCAGAAACTGGCTGTTTCAGATCCTTCCGCCCGCTGACATTTTGTCCCGTGAAGAGAAAGAGCAACACCACTAGCACCTCTATTGAAATCTTGCTCTCCATTCACTTTGATGACTTGATCCAACTCTCTCTACTACAGCACCTTAGTTTTTATGCTCTATATATAATGGATTCCTAGGGGACAGTGAAGTGAAGCCCATCTTAGTTTATTGATTGAATTATATATATATATATATATATATTGAAAACATAAAATGAAAAAGCATGGAATAAATGTGGACATGTCTATTTTTAAAATGTATAAAATGCTTTATCAAGTTCATATTCTATGTATTCGATCAGAGCAGATAAATCAAATGAAATAATTTGGCTGATATAGCCAGATGTAATATAGATTAACATAATTTTTAAGTTAATAGATTTAATTTAATGTTAGAATTATGTTTCGAGGGTTTATTTTGCACTAATCTTGAAATTTTTGTTAACTATTTTAAGGTTCATATTGATTAAGAATTACATCACGATATTCTGAGCAAATTTGTGGGCAAAGGTAAGTCAATAGAGTGAAAGGCAAATGATTTTTTCTTAATGTTAAGGACATGAGCTCAGTCTTTCCATGTGGAGAAATGCCACTTGAATAAATATGAATAAAAAACTGCTAAGTGCTGGTAGTATTCCTCCCGGCCGATTGTGCATAATGTTGAGCGAGTTCGTTGGAAAAAAATTTATAGTGCTCCCGCATATTCGGATGATGGTTTGGATACGACCATCACACATTGCCGTGAAACCGCTCATCCAGATCGTAATCCAGAGTGTCAAGCACACCTAGTTTTTAATTGAGTCGAACACATTATCACATATATAATAATCACAATATTAGAGAAGTCGTCATGCAAATTTATAGTTGTCAGCCAGATTAATGCTATATTTTTTCTTAATTATTATAATTTTCAATGAGAAGTATCTTTTAAGTTTAAAATATGTTAATTTTATAAATTAAGAAAGTCATACGAATTTTTAATGTAATTGATTCTTCGCTGCTAGATATTTATATGTTAGGCTTACTAAGTTGCCCCAATGGCTATATGTAAGTGTTATAAATTATATGTTCAGTATGACTAAACATTATTATATTCAAAAATGCGAATCAGAATTTTTTTTAGTGATTTATGCACATGTTGTAAGATTAACAAAACAAAATTATATATATATATATATATATATGTATATATATATACATCTCCCGGAGCATTGATGTTGAGGTGTTCCAATGATGTAGAAGGAAGAAATTACTATAAAGAGAGCTCTCCGACCGTAGACCAAGAGGCATGCTTATTCGACCAAATGCACCAACCCGATTCAAAACTATAAAGGTCGATCGGAAGTAGCCGTCTAAGCCAATGGTGAAGGCCAACCGAGCTAGGAGAAGGCAAAAGGACGAGTAATTAATTTGAATGACAACCAATAAGAATAAGAGTGTGTTTATTTCGGTTGTAGCAATAGAAAAATTGGTTTGAAAAGGTGTTGTCGAGACCTATTGTTCAGAAGCGGGTGTTTCAAAAGCATTTTGTCTGTTTAGATAATACAGTTTTGAAAAGACTAATGACAACATAATGAGTGTAATGCCCAGATTATATAAGCATAGTTTAGCTTAAACTGTTTCAAAAACACATTTCTTATAGCGTTGTATGTAAAATAAATCCAATAACAATTTAACAAGTTATTTTCCTTCATAGTAACATAATGTAAATTAAGTTGAACATTAACTGATTCATAAGAAATCATCAAATTATGCCAAAAATCATAATGACACGAGATTATGATGGATAAAATGGTCCCAATTGTTGTTGCATAATTAAATTTTGAAATTCATAATTTATATAATATGGGTCAAAAAGAGAAATTTGCTTACAATAAAAAACCTAACAGTTTAATTTGTCCTCTAAAATTCATAAACACCATCAAAACAGATACAACAACAACAACAACAATAAAAACAACACTAAAATTACAAAATCAAATAAAAGTAAAGTCTTCTTAAGAAACTTCAACTCTTTGATATAATTTTTTACTGTAACATCAATGCATATATATTTTCGTCAGTTGAATCCTCTATTGTATCCTTCGGCTCATCAACCCATTGAAAAATTTTGTAATCTCTGTTCATTAAAGTTTTTGGACATCTATAAAATTTTCATCATATATTGTCACCTCTCTAAGTAGTAAAAAAATGTACAATGGACTGCAATCACAAAAAATCGGCAAATGTTTGATCCTTTAAAGGTTGTCGAACTGCTTGAGCTCATGTTTGATACTGTAATCCTGTATAATGAACAACAAAGAAAGTTTACATATCTAGCACAAAGTTCTTATGTATTGAATAGCCATCAAAGTACAAACATTATCAATCCCATTGAACAACAACATTAAAATACCACTTACTATTAATAAGGATAAGCCATACCAGTCGATTGGAAGCATAAGACTGTAGGTTACAACAATCAAAGTTGTTGACATCCGATGCTGAAGTTCTAATGCTTATTCCACCAAATTTTTAATCAATGTTTTCCCTCCATTATTGAATCATTGATTATGAATAATTGTAATCTAATTTTTGTATTAAATTTCTTATTCTTATCACAATGTCCCTTTTAATAAGTAAGAATTAGAAAACTAAAACTTGTACATAGAAAACTGTGTGAGTGTAGATCCTGCAGAGATCTAACCATCCAAAATTAAGAAAGTACAACAATGAAGGACCCGCCAACAGAAGACCAAAAGGTCCCCCACTTATTCGACCAGAAGTAGCCACACGAGCCAAGATAAAGCCGATCATAGGTAGCCACCCAAGCTGAAGTCGAAAGCCAAACGAGCCAGGAGAAGGACTTAAGGATGATCGATTGATTTGAATATGAACTAATCAAACTAAAACAAGGTAGATAAGCTTTTAAGGAACTGACAAGAAGAAAGCTAACTGAAGGCAGCTACCTACTTTCTGCTAGATCAGACCTGAGGAAAAACCCAGTTCCTCAACATCAACAATATTGTCACGGATTCCCTTGAGGCTATTCATCACAGATCAAGATTGACAATACAATAGAGCTTTATAGTCATCTCACAGGAACTCATCTTTGAGGTATTAGCTACTTGTCTGGTTAAGGTATTTACTCTCTGCCCAATAATTAAGTCTCGCTCTGCCGATAAGAGCTCTTCATCTAGGGATAAGGAGATCACAACTAGACTAAATTAACCTATCGATAAGTCCTAGTCAATCGAACCAATCAGGCCGACCTGATGCCAACAAATTTCAACCCACCAGCAACACCAGCTTAGCCTCGCTGACCGAACCTGCCTTACCAAGCTAAAGCCAAACAAGCTAGGCCGATCGAGCCAATGAGTATCCAAGTGATTGGTTCATATATTTAAAATTCCTAAAATATCTTTTACGACATCCATTAAAGTATGAAAAAAATGTAATATCATAATATTGTACCCTCTCCCCTACATAAAGAGATCATTTTATGATAACAAAGAGGCTAGAAATGACGTATTAAAGTTAAAGAATGATCGAAGGCTATAATACATGCCCTGATCATCCATCAAGCGCCTAAGAATTCGAGTACCGCACCCTACACTCGGGGGGGAATCAAATCCCCCAGACCATAGGTGACTTACAACTGATAAGCAGAAGCCCGACCAACTGATCTGAGAATGCAATGCTATATATATATATGAAGTTTAGTAGCACATGCATGCTATAAAATTGCTTTATGTTTTTCATTACTTTTTTAATAAAATTTATTTTATTAACGGACATTTATGTCTAGGGGAGAAGAATTAGCGGGGAGGCAATGGAAGTGGTAGTAAAATTTATTTTATTTACGTACATTTTTTTTTTCTTTCTAGGGGAGAAGAATCAGCTGGGACGCAATGGAAGAGGAGAAATGGACATCAGAAGAACGTGATACAAATAGCGTAAACAACGGAGAGTAATGTTCAGGATGTTGTTGATCCCTTTCTTTTTTTAACCTCTTAAATTTTTTTTTTTTTTGGCTTATTTCAACACCAGTATGAAATCAAGTGCATGAAATTATGATTGTCATTGCCCAAATTGCACTAAGCCCAAGTATTCGATTCCATTTCCCAATATTTAAGATCTAAAAAATTCTTTTGAAATGAATTTTGGCAAACATTCAATTAAATGGATTAAATAATTATTTTTGGGAAGGGAAGACTTAGCATGGTAAAACCAAGTGCCATTCTCAAGTATAATCTAAACCTAGTCACTTTGGAATGGCTCATTATAGATAGATTCGCAAGTCATATGTCCTTTAGTGTAAAAGGTCAGAAACATGAATGAAAGGCTTCCTTTCATTGGAATGGCTATTTTTTCTTCTGTTAAAGTCGTCCCATTTTGTGGTTAACGTTCGGAAATGTGCTAAGTTTTGTCCGAAACAAATCAGTTAAAATTTATTTATGTTATTGTAAGGTCATGAAGCGTTTGGTTTTCAGTCATATATGTACGTTTTGGGTTTAAAATATTTTTGACAAATATCTACCGAGACAAAATTTAGTCCACATATGATAATATTTGATAGGGATAAGTAGTCTATTTAAGAATATGAGAAAAAGCCCTATGTTGACCAGTGTTATCCCTCTAGTGAGTCTGGAGTTGAGAAGATTTGGGACTATATATGATTAGGCAACAAATTTGTTTCAGAAATTATCTTTTAAAAACAATCTCATATATTCTAAAGACAAACTTGTTTCCACATCATAGTTTGTCATCTCTCTAATAAGTTAGGAATTGATGATATTTTATCGTTGATGTTGTTAATTTTGAGAAAATTTGTCGTCAAAAATTTGAAATGTATGTTCCAAGCAATCTGGACGTAACATATTGCAGTAGTATTAAGTTTATTATTTATTTATTTATTTATTTATTTATTTTTCGAAGTAGATGTCGTCAAAAATTTGAAATGTATGTTCCAAGCAATGTGGACATAACATATTGCAGTAGTATTAAGTTTATTGTTTATTTATTTATTTATTTATTTTTTGAAGTAGGATGATCATCAAGAAATTTATAATGGATATTTCGTTGCAATATAATCTAATGAATTTCAACATAAATGGTTGGGAAATTTGCAGCCAATTTATACTGCAATATAATATAAAAAAAATTATTA